ACCCGAAAAAGCGGAAGTACTGCAGGTTCAAAGAATCCATCTTCTCCCTGATGTTGCTGACTGAGCTGGTTGTGCATTGGTTAAGAACTCTACTGGTTGAATTTAGATCCGCAATTTAATCCACCAGCCGTACCTCCTCAGAAAGACCTGGTGATCTGCTCCGATATAAAGCACAGCCTAGGAAACTCTGTGGGGGCGTTCTACTCTATCTTTTTGAGTCGGAATGAAGGAGACTGCACACAACAACAACATAGGTGGAGGCGACAAAGTCTTGGACTCGAGTAAGTGTGCCCAGCAGCTGAAAATAAAAAAAAAATAATAATAATAATAAGAGAAAAAGAAGTTTGAGGAGATTTGAAGTTTCCTAGCGAGGTTAGGAAACCTTGAGCTTGCTGGTCCAGCTCAGACTGAGTGTCCCCTGGCCTTTTAAGGCGTATGAACCCAGGGAAGGGACAGAAAAAGACCCTTTAGAACAAAACGATCTGATGGAGCCAGACAGCTACAGCCTCACTATCTCTTTCTAAACGTGACTCTCTCCTCCCCTGAAGTTTGGTCACAGGTCTGGGGAGGCGTGAGGAGGCTCCTAGGTGAACTTCTCAAGGTATCTCAGCCCACGAGGATTCCGCGGTGCTTTTAAACGTAAAGCAACGTTTAATCTGAAATGAAAGGGGCGTTCTTGTGTTTCTAGATTGAATTAAGTGGTGGTGGTATGCCATGGAGTCGGTTCCGACTCATAGATACCCTACACAGGATTTCCAAGGCTATAAATCTTTACGGGAGCAGAAAGACTCATCTTTCTCCTGCGGAGTAGCTGGTAGTTTTGAACTGCTGACCTTGAGGTTAGCAACCAGACTTAAAACAACTACGATACCAGATTGAATGAGCTGTTGCTTTAAATCTGCAAACTTTCCACAAAGTGACAAATGTACAATTTTTAAAATCCTGCCCAGAACCACTTGGCAGTGCTCAATCTGTTTCTGGCATCAATAATTTGAGAATTTAAAATGAAATGCAATGAAAGTTAAGAGTCTGACTGCAATCACATCCCCAGTGGACCAACCGGCCCACCACAGCCAAGCTCTTCCAGAAAAAAGCAAGTGGAAATGTTTTTTTCCCCCAAAGAATCAAGAAATTTCAAATGCCCTTTCTCCCAAATTGCTTTCCTTCCCGAGTTCTGGTCCTGCTCTTAAAGTCTCTTTCTCAGTCACTTCGCTAACGGAGTTTTTGTAACCCACTGAAGAAAGAGTCCAGCCTGCATCAGTTGGAAAATTTGAGAGTGTTCCCTGGGCTCCAGGTTTCTTTTGGTGAAATCCTTCATGAGACTTGACACCGTTTACTCTTTAAGCACTGAATCAAAAGATTTCAGTCCCAGCAGCACAACCTCAGATGCCACAACTTCTCTGGTATAAGGAATATTGTTTCACTCTCCCTTTCAGCACCTAATTTGAGCCCTAAAAATAAAAAAAGGGGGGTGGGGTGGGGAGGGAGAAGCCTACCACCAGGCCAGTGGCTAGGGTTACAAGTATTTCCTCAGAACAAGCAAACAAATACAAATGTTGCCTTAGTGTGGCTCCTGTTCATAGAACTGTCTCACAGAGATTCCAAGGCTGATGTCTTTATGGAAGCAGACCTCTTTCTTCCCCAGAGGATTGGTAGGTTAGCAGCTGCTGCCCAATGCTTAACCACTGTACCACCAGGGCTCCTTTCTGAAGTGCTAAGCCTTTGGAAACAACACTCAAAAGAAGCAAGTGGCTCAGTCATTTTCCTGATTGATGGAACTTCTCCCCCTTCCCCTTCCTAAATAATAAACTCACCGGGAAAGGCTCTCGGGCTGCCTTGTGTTGGTTTCAAATAAATTCTCAACCGCTCCTTCCTCACCCAGAGAAATGAATCACCCTTGGGAAATAGATGATTATTCCCCCATTTGTCTGCTTAAAACCAATGGAAATAGCATCTTCCAGTGTAGACCCTCAGTATAGTCTTTCTCCCAGACAGTGGGATAGGAGAGGTAAGGTGACATGGGAGAGAACCCAGACCTACAGAGATACCTTCCTAAAAGAAGGGGTATCAGGACACAAGAAGGAAAACACCACTATGCTGCCAGTACTGGATGCTAGAGAGGGACTACCAGACCCTCAGAGGAGGAAGCCCCTGGAAGAGGAGCTGAGGCCTCCACAGATAGAACAGAGCTATCCTACTCCAGAAGTAAATTCTGTGGTAATTCATGTCAGTCAGCTTTCTACATTCCTTAGTGGGAAATAGAGTTGTGTGCTGTTGTGGTTTTTATCTAGAATTCTAGATTGTGGTTTCTTTAAACCAGTAAAAAAAATCTTGCTGGTTTCCAAATGATTTGGAAGTGTTTCGGGGGAGGGGAGATGGTGGAGAGAAAAGTTATCTGCATGAAATTATTTAAAATGAACCTCTCAATTTGTTCATTAGTGTTGTAGAAGACACCCAAATCAGACCAACAATATACTAAACACGGAAAGAAGTGAAAATTTCTACTATAAATCTTCTGAGACGTTCAGACCTGGGTAGTCATTCCCCTTATCCCATTTCACCTTACAAAGCAGAGTGACTTTCCCCATCTCCATAGCGCACACTGCAAAGGGGCAGGCAGGCTTGGGTCAGTCTGTGATTATTTTTTAGGACCACTCTTTGTTGACTTTTTCAACATTGACTGGAATTTAATTTGTTCAAAAAGAAGAAGAAAAGGGCGCACATTCCATTTAAAGTAAAAGAAAAGTGAACTTACAGCTTCCTTCTCCGTCTGTTGCCAACACAGTCAGAGTAGTCATCATTGGGGCTCTTGTTTCCTGCCACTATGGGCTTCCAGATTACTTTTTTGATCTCAGTTGCTGTGTTTATTGAGGGTCTGATTACTGCAGAGAAATAAGGAGCTCAAATAACATAAGACTACAAACAGGGACAATGTCCCATTGGAAGGACATTTAGTTGTAATAATTAACGTCAATTTACCCTATCCTGTAAATGACTAGAAAAAAATCTTCACATCTGACCACCCATCCAAATCCCTGAACCACCCATAGAAACACATTTTTAAGCCCACATTACCCATCTATCGCTATATCCAACTTCTACGATGTTAAGCAAAGGCAAAACCAGGATTTAAAGGTTCTTTTTTATTTGAAATCTTATCCAGAAACACTGGTTATTAATAAATATAGTTATCAAGAATATATAAAAAATAAAGACAAGTATTGTCTTTGAGGCCCTAACAAAATAATTCAAGCAAATGTTCAGGAAAATAAAATCCACACGCCTCCCCAAACCAGTTAACTTTTCAAAGCTGATAACAGAGAGAGCCGACCCCGCATGCAGAATAACTGAGCAAGAGGGGTGGGGCGATCTACTAAAAGGAGCCCAAGGGTTTGCAAAGGGGCCCCTGGAACAGCCAAGGGAGGTTTGGAATGGAGTTTGAAGGGGGTGGGGTGGGAGGAGAGGCTCCAGTGCTTGAGTGTGGGCCTTTGCACCCTGTCCCCTTGTTGATTTAAACAACCACAGACAGACAATATGGAGTACTTGGGAGAATTCACTAATAAATCCTTGTTACAAGGAAAAAAAAGGCGCCACGGCCTGCACAACATGGTTAGATGAGATTCATTTAGAAGCCTGCATGCATTCTTTCGACCTACACTGCGCGAAAGAAAAACCCACACAGGAGGTGTCAGACCCTGGCCCAGAGCTGAGATTCAAAACTTGGATCTTTTTCTCTCGCTCTCTCCGCTGTCTCTAGAAAAACTGTGGAGAGGACAGTGACAATCATAGTTGCATCCACCTCAACGAAATATTTACACTTGTCTTGGACAAAAGGAATGGCCATCTTTTTTCCAACGTGCGTACACAGAACTAGAGGAGCCAACTCAGAAGTCCCTTCACAAGTTTTTAACTACACCGATCCAGTCTTTATATCACAAATGCAGTTTTGACAAGAGCATATGGCAGTGAGAAATACTGGCATGGCACGGGAAAAGAAGCATGCATGCAAACACACGACGTCTGGTTCGAGTCCCCCTTCACTACCACCTACAAATGGCAGTTTGGTTTTGGTCCGTTCCCTCCAGGGTTCAAGTAAGGTGTGAGATCTCTAGAGGGTGTGATGGCCAGGGGCCCTGCGCCCGCCCGCCCTCCAACCGAACGCCCAGCCTCCCACTGCGATCCCGGCCCAACGGTCCCACCCGCAGCTAGTCCCTCATCCCTGGCAGCCGGGCGGGCCCGCTGCTCACTTGAGCAAGTCCTTGGACTCTGCGGACAGCCGGGCCATGTTGGCGGTAGAGAGAGCGGACAGGTGCGGCGGCGGAGGCATCTGGCATATGGTGCAGGGACAGGGTAGACCAGCCCAGTGCTGAAAGCCGCTGCTCAGTTGCAACGCCGGAGGCGTGGAAGGAGCCTTGAGTAGTGAGTGGGGAGGCCGAATGGCGCCGATGGCAGGCAACGAGGCCGCGGACAGAGGTGAGGAGGCGTTGCCGGATGAGAGCGCGCCGCCCAGAATGGGGTGCACCGGATGCATGGCGTTGGCGGCGTGCGCTGGGTGACCGGCCGAGTGGCCCACGGTCCCGCAGTGGAAGGCCGAATGGTGGCCCCCGTAGATCTCGCCAACCAACCTCTTCATCTCTTCCAGAGAGCTGGTGAGCATGAGGATGTAGTTTCTGGCCAGCAGGAGCGTGGCGATCTTGGAGAGTTTGCGCACCGATGGCCCGTGCGCGTAGGGCATGACCTCGCGCAGCCCGTCCATGGCGAGGTTCAGGTCGTGCATTCGCTTGCGTTCGCGCCCATTGATCTTCAGTCGCAACTGCTGTAGATCCTGCTCCGACAGTTGCTTCTTGATTTTGTACTTGCTGCTCTCACCCGCGGTCTTGGCGCCAGCCCTCGAGAGACTTTCCCCGGGCATTTTCTGCACCAAGTCGTTCTGTGTGGATGAGACCGAGTTGAGACGGCTCTCCTGGTGGTGGTGGTGGCGGTGGTGGTGATCTCGCAGGTACATCTCATCCATGTCCGGAGATGAAGCTCTGCTGGAGACAGAGCTCGAATCAGAATTCATTTTATTGCAGAGAATGCGGCCCTACTGTCTGGAGGCTTTAGGCGGGAAATCAAAGAAAAGAAAATCTTGAATTTACAAAAGAAAAGCTGTACAGCCCAGCAACCCACTGCTTAGCGGCAAGACCTAAGAAGAAAACCCGAGTCACTGCCTTTCCCCGCCTATTTCCCTCCCCTCTCTATGGTTAGGCTGTTTCCTGGACAGCTAGTTGGTGTGTGCTTGAACTAACCTCACCCTGAAAAAGAGGGGCTTTTATAGAGCTGCAGCGGAGAATAGAGACAAAAGGAACCCTCCTATCTATCCTAGGCTGGTTAGGATGACGTGCCATCATTCAGGGCGGTGCGCTTTCCTGTCCCATTTAGCAAGGATTCCTATTCATATTCATTGTGGGGCCGCCTTGGGACACCTCTGCGCAGAACCACTAGGAGCCCCTGGCACAAAACCGTCCGATTGACACTAGCCGCTCCAATTTATGCCTTCCCGATTAAAAAAAAAAAAAAAAAACTTTCCTCGACGCCCCCCTCCCCCTTCTCAGTTTCCCTAACTAAATCACAAGTAGGGAACCGAAGGAAGCTAACGGGTCCAGGTTCCTCTGGGTTTGGAGAAAGAGATTGAACTATCCTCTCGCCTTGCTTTCATAGCTGCTTCTAAGTTTAGAGAAATCGAGTGGGCAGAAAAGTCCCTATGGATAGATTTGAGGGACCCAGATGTGGGCTGGCGTTAGGTCTGAGTGAGGGGGAGAAAGGGTGTCGGAGATATGTTCTCTAAACTTTCTTCTCCTTTACTTCTCTTTCCTAGCACACTGGTATTTTTCGTTGGGCCCTTCTGGTGTGGTGTCAGCTGGATGCTATATCTGGTGATGATTTTGTCCTGACATTGTTGTGGGATAGGTAGACTCCTTATTTTCTATTTCTCCTTCTTCTTCCCCCCTTTCTCCTCCTCCTTTTTCTTCTCTTGTTTAAACTACCGGAATAATTCCAGTTTTGCCCAATTCTATAGCTTCTTAAACCAAAAACTGAAAAGAGTAAAAATCCTAACGTTGTGAGAATAGTAACTGGAGAAGCGGAGGGCAAGGAGAGGAGGCTCCAGTGGAGGGAGTAGGGGATTGATTGGAAAGATTTCTGAGAACTCTAGTTTCGGCGGCTCTGGGTCCAGCGAGGTTCACAGATGTAGTAGTTAGCGGACGTTGGTGGGCCAGTCGCCCTCCGGAAACTCCGCTAAGCCGCCTCTGGCCGCTGGGTGTGCCTGAGGCCAGGGCGGCTCTGCAGGGCTGGGGTCGCCCCTACTCTGGCGGGCGGGAGAAAGTCGGGGAGCTCAGAGTAGAATAATAAACTGCGTTGATGTATGTGTGTGTGTTCGACAAGGAAAGGACCTGGAGAGCCCTTGGGGCGCACGCGTGGGCGCTTGTGTCTGTGAATAAAGAAGAGGCCTGGAGTTTGGATCCTTGGGTGCAATTGCGGAGGTCGACGCAGATCTCTTTCTTCCTGTTGCACTGCTTTTGTCGACCCGGACTTTAGCTGTGTGGCAGGAGGGGAGGGAAAGCAGAAATCCCGGAGAGGAAAAGATCCCTGAGATGGCCTCTAAAAGAGTCTGGGGACTACCTCGTGGTCAGGAAGAAGCCACGACAGAAGCTAGGTGTGGCTGAGGTTCGGGGTGTGAGACCATCAATCCTGGAACCTCCGGCGTAGTCGAATCCCTGCTAGTCTGAAGATTCTCTAGGAAGTGGAGGTCCCACTTGCCACTGACACTTATTAAGCGGTCATCGGCAGAGGGCTATGTGGCCAGGTCCGGAGTTCGCACGCTTGGCCTTGTTGACAGATGGTTACGCTACGAAACAACACTGGCAGTACCAGTCGGGAGACAGAACCCTGGAATGATGGTTGTTGTTTTTTTTCTACACCAAATTTCGCTTCTCTTTAAAAGGAAGGCCAGAGTATTAATTGTTTTGAAGACTGAAAAGAACTCACGAACCATCCTACCTCTTTCCTTACCTCCGTGGAAAGATAGTTTCTTAAAACGACGACCCAAAGGGATTACATTGGATGTGGAAAGATTGAAGTACAAACACACCCCAATGTCTAAGCAAACAAAATACTTCCTAATTTACCAGATTTGCCCATTTTAGCTATATTCCCCAAGTTGCTTAAGAGAAAGAAGGTCCCAGAATATGTGTCAGGTGACAAACGGTGGCAGGGGGACTAGTGTCATCCCCACGACATTCCTCTGCTGCTTCCTTGTTTTTCAAGTTCGGTAACAGGGAGTTCTGGACTTCAAGGAAAAGCAGCTTCCCAACTCCTGAGCCTGGTTCCTGTCACCTAAATGACCTCTAGACAACGACGTCTGTTTTTCCGAAGCCCAAAGTGAAAATGCTGTGTCTCAGTTTTGACATAGGGAAATAGCAAAGTCTAGTTAGAGCAAAAGATTAGTTTTGGAAGAGTAGCAAACTCATGTGCTGAAAGGTATTGTACCCTGAAAAGAGATGCCAACTTTCTCAGTGCACAAAATGTAATGAAGATTAAGTGGGGTGGAGGAGTAAATGAGGAGGGAGCCGTCAGCACAATGCAAGCTAACAGCTCACTTGTGGGCCTGGAAGGGCAAAAACCTGGGCTCTGAGAGTTAGAACCCAAAGTATCTTCCTTAAAGGGACTGGGCACAATCTTTCCGCCCCGAGAGATTAGGCTGACGCGAGCTGCGGAGAAGGAACTCTGGGCCTCTGCCTTCATGTCACGGACTCTCCAAAAGGGATTTTAGCTTCAATTCTGCAGATGGCGCCGGAAATGACAGATCTTCCAGGTCTTGGCCAGGTCCCGCTCAGTCCCAGCCTGGGACCAGGCAAGTCCTTTCTCCTTCGCGCGTCTCTCTCAAGGGCTTCAGTGTGTGCTTGTGGGGTAACCTAGGGTCCAGCCGGCAAGCACTTAAAGGAAGACTTCCAGGAGTCCCAGGCTCTCCTAGGATACGAGTTCCCCTGTCCCCTTTTCCGTGGAGGGTTTACCAAAGATAGAAGAGGGAATGAGTTCGGGAGTCAGAACTCAGGCCCCCAAAGGAGGAGGTTTTCCTTGCAGCTGCTCCGACGTTGCCTCCAGACTCCACTCCTCAAAAAAGCTCCAGACACTGAAGTTTCATGCGTCACCCCCTCTTAGTTCTTTGGGATTGGTCCCGGGCGGGGAAAAGGCAGTCAGGTAGCTCAGGGGGTGACTTACTCGGACCCACTTCTTTCTAAGGCTGCCTTTGCCTTGGCGCACCCAGGCGAGTGCGCGGAGCAGAGCGGACCGTAGGAGCGTGTGGTTGGGCAGAGGCTGCGCCGTGACCTTGGCCCTGGCCGGGGGGCCCAGTCGGAAGACTCGGGCTGGCTGCGAGCGGAAGCAGCGGCGCTGGTGGATGCGCCGGACTGAGCTGCCCGGGGTCCCACTCAGACCCTAGCGGCTGGGAAGGGAGGCAGACAGCGGGGAGGCAGGGGTGGGGAGGGGGGTGACGTTCTCTGGCAACAGGTGTGTCCCTAGACTGGCGGGCTCTTTCCCGCCAAACTGGCCTTGGCTCTGGACAGAGCTGTTTCTTCGCTTTTGTATGGCACAGGAAAGCTGCGGGTCGTGGTGGGTCAGAGTGTCGCCCGCGTCTCCCGGGAGCGCGGTCTCAGTTCCGCAGTCTCAGGCGGGCGCGGCTCTGGTTCTCCGGGGATCGTGCACTCTGGGGGCTGCGCGGACCTTCGACACCCTCCGCCCCTAGATGACCAGGAACCGTTCCTTACCTGATGCCCAGTGAACGCTGTTTAGGGCCTGCAGCTCCAGCCAGAGAAGTCCGCTCTAGAAGCTAGTAATCCTGCCAGCAGCGGTGGTGATTTTGGCTCAGGAGCGAACCCCTAACTCTCTGCAAGAGCCGGGCAGCAAACGTCGTTGTGGCTGACCTGCGGGGAGGCTAGTGTGAGGAGCCGGTCACTCAGCAACGCCCAGGGGCTCCTCTCGCTTGTCCAGCCGCAAACGCAAACTTGACCCTCAGAAATTTGAGTTGAGTCCGAAAGACCGGAGCCAGCCGGTGGGCCTCACCCTCCAATCTACCCTCCCCAATGCATAAAACGATGACCAGAGAGAAAGCCAACTCTATCTAAAGATGTCCCGTTAAATCCAAAGGAGGAATTGCCTAAAACTAGGTGGCCAAAAGGAACTTCCCCTAACATAGTTTAACTGACTACAACAATTACTTCAAAACAATTACTTCAAAACAACAGTTCATTGTGGCTGTTAGGTTGCGCTCAAAGAAGGCATTGGGGGGTGGAGGGGGGGAAGAAAAGAAAAGAAAAAGAACAGTAAGTTAAAATAAAAAAAGGCTAACACAAATCGCAGCCAAGCAGAAACTGGCATCTCCTTTCACATATGCATATCAGGAGGGTGAAGCGAGGATGCTGAGAACTGGGAGCCGGGTCTTCCTATACCAAGATGCCCGAATTGAATTGAAATCCCAAGAGGATGGATTCAGTCAAATTGAAGCGCTTCTGTTTTCTGATTATTTTCATATTTTACAGTTTACTTAACAATAATCTGCTCAATATTTCTTCATTTGTCTTCTATATCTCATTTTCATACAAGAAATATAACAGAAGTTGGATTACAGCAAAATTGTATGATGCTGTAGTAACTGCTGTTTGCGATGTTGGATGTGAGACTTGGAGGATTCAAGGAAGTCTTAGAACAGCATAAAAATCTGAGGTGCTAATTGTGTGAATACATAGACAAGTTAATACACTGGCAGAACTAGAAGTTTGATTTTAATGATGCATAAACCATAAGACTGTCTAGAATTTACAGATTAATTGCAACCATTTAAAGACGACTTTAAGTTAAAGGATAGGAACTTTTTGACTTCTTTTATAGAACTTTGCTCAATTAGTGAGCAGCCTTCAAAGAATTTTTTCCCTTCTTTCTAGTAATACCTGCTCAATTGTCAAAATCTCTTGAGTTTTACTTCTGTAGAAAGTCAATAAATTGGAGACAATATTTCCTCAAGACTGAAATGTTTCCGTTGATTTAAATATCACTGATGATCTATCACATAAACTGATAAATTGTATTAAAATGTGCATATTTACACACACATTTTGGCATGAGTATTGACATTTTGCATTAGTGACACCATTAATACCAATATTTTAAGGACCACAAGGCAGATGATTTCTTACTAATTTTTCATTGCGATTCATTTGCTTCTTTTGTGACTTGATGGATAAAA